GTTTAGGCGTGCATTACATACAGACTGCAGGGTTTAGGGGTGCATTACATACAGAGTGCAGGGTTTTTAGGCTGCATTACATACAGAGTGCAGGGTTTAGGGGTGCATTACATACAGAGTGCAGGGTTTAGGGGTGCATTACATACAGAGTGCAGGGTTTAGGCTGCATTATATACAGAGTGCAGGGTTTAGGCTGCATTACATACAGAGTGCAGGGTTTAGGGGGTGCATTACATACAGAGTGCAGGGTTTAGGCTGCATTACATACAGAGTGCAGGGTTTAGTGGCTACATTACATACAGAGTGCAGGGTTTAGACTGCATTACATACAGAGTGCAGGGTTTAGACTGCATTACATACAGAGTGCAGAGTTTAGGCGTGCATTACATACAGAGTGCAGGGTTTAGGCGTGCATTACATACAGAGTGCAGGGTTTAGACTGCATTACATACAGAGTGCAGAGTTTAGGCTGCATTACATACAGAGTGCAGGGTTTAGGCTACATTACATACAGAGTGCAGGGTTTAGGGGTGCATTACATACAGAGTGCAGGGTTTAGGGGTGCATTACATACAGAGTGCAGTTGGGTTTAGACTGCATTACATACAGAGTGCAGGGTTTAGGCTACATTACATACAGAGTGCAGAGTTTAGACTGCATTACATACAGAGTGCAGGGTTTAGGCTACATTACATACAGAGTGCAGAGTTTAGGCGTGCATTACATACAGAGTGCAGGGTTTAGGGGTGCGCTATGTACAGAGTGCAATGTTCAGGAATGCATTATGTACAGATTGCAGAATTCAGGGGTGTGCTGTGTATAGAGTGCAGGGCTTAGGGGTGCACTATGCACAGTGTGCAACCCAAATTCCCCCCCTCAAAGCTTCCTCACATTTTTTACGCTCTCTTATCTGGCCCAGCTCTAGTACCTCCCTGTGTTGTCAGCTCTAGTACCTCCATTTACAGCTGGCTCTAGCACCTCCTTGTGTATGCAGCTCTACTATCCCGGTATTCAGCTCTAGTACCTCCCTGTGCAGATGGCTCTGACATGCCTTGCAGGGAGATCGTGCTCTCTCTCTGATCCTGGACCTCTGTCCCCGGTGTGTACTGCAATCTTCTGTCCCTTTTAAACACAGAAGGCTCCTGTGTTACTTTAACCACTTGAGCTCCTGAGGATTTACCCCCCTTAATGACCAGGCCTTTTTTTGCTGTTTGGCGCTGCACTAATTGAAATGATAATTGCGCGGTCATGCAATGCTGTACCCAAACTAAATTTACGTCCTTTTTTTCACACAAATAGAGCTTTCTTTTGATGTATTTTATCACCTGTGCGCATTTTATTTTTTGCGCTATAAACAAAAAAACACGAACATTTTGAAAAAAAAAACAATATTTTCTACTTTCAGCTATAAAAAATATATCGTAAGCTCAAAGTTAGTCATAAATTTAAGCCAAAATGTATTCTGCTACATGTTTTTGGTAAAAAAAATCCCAATAAGTGTATATTGATTGCTTTGTGTGAAAGTTATAGCGTCTACAAACTATGGTATAGATACTGTAATTTATGCCTTTTTTTTGCTATACAGCGCTGCACTAATTCAAATGATAATTGCGCGGTCATGCAATGCTGCACCAAAAACGAAATTTACGTCCTTTTTTTCACACAAATAGAGTTTTCTTTTGATGGTATTTTATCACCCGTGCGCTTTTTATTTTTTGCGCTATAAACAAAAAAAACACGAAAACGTTGAAAAAAAAAACAATATTTTCTACTTTCAGCTATAAAAAAAATATCGTAAACTCAAAGTTAGTCATAAATTTAAGCCAAAATGTATTCTGCTACATGTTTTTGGTAAAAAAAATCTCGTGCATTAGCGGACAAACTGGCTCTATCTGGGAGGGGCGCTAACACTATCGGAAGTTACCAGTGACACTAATACAGTGATCAGTAAAAATCGGTTCACTGATCAGGGACACTGGTGACAGGGCAGTGAAGGAGTTAACTGGGGGGGGGGGGAAGAGATTGAGGGGTTAAATAGGATTACTGGTGTACTAGCGGGCAAACTGGCGCTATCTGGGAGGGGCGCTAACACTATCGGAAGTCGCCAGTGACACTGATACAGTGATCAGTAAAAATCGGTTCACTGATCAATGACACTGGTGACAGGGCAGTGAAGGGGTTAACTCAGGGGGGGGGGGGGGGCGATCAAGGGGTTAGACGGGATTACTGGTGTATTAGCGGGCAATCTGGCGCTATCTGGGAGGGGCGCTAACACTATCGGAAGTCGCCAGCGACACTGATACAGTGATCAGTAAAAATCGGTTCACTGATCAGGGACACTGGTGACAGGGCAGTGAAGGGGTTAACTGGGGGGGGGAAGAGATTGAGGGGTTAAATAGGATTACTGGTGTACTAGCGGGCAAACTGGCGCTATCTGGGAGGGGCGCTAACACTATCGGAAGTCGCCAGTGACACTGATACAGTGATCAGTAAAAATCGGTTCACTGATCAATGACACTGGTGACAGGGCAGTGAAGGGGTTAACTCAGGGGGGGGGGCGATCAAGGGGTTAGACGGGATTACTGGTGTATTAGCGGGCAATCTGGCGCTATCTGGGAGGGGCGCTAACACTATCGGAAGTCGCCAGCGACACTGATACAGTGATCAGTAAAAATCGGTTCACTGATCAGGGACACTGGTGACAGGGCAGTGAAGGGGTTAACTGGGGGGGGAGGAGAGATAAAGGGGTTAAATAGGATTACTGGTGTACTAGCGGGCAAACTGGCGCTATCTGGGAGGGGCGCTAACACTATCGGAAGTCGCCAGTGACACTGATACAGTGATCAGTAAAAATCGGTTCACTGATCAGTGACACTGGTGACAGGGCAGTGAAGGGGTTAACGGGGGGGGGGGGGCGATCAAGGGGTTAAACGGGATTACTGGTGTACTGGCGGGCAATCTGGCGCTATCTGGAAGGGGCGCTAACACTATCGGAAGTCGCCAGCGACACTGATACAGTGATCAGTAAAAATCGGTTCACTGATCAATGACACTGGTGACAGGGCAGTGAAGGGGTTAACTCGGGGGGGGGGGGGCAATCAAGGGGTTAGACGGGATTACTGGTGTATTAGCGGGCAATCTGGCGCTATCTGGGAGGGGCGCTAACACTATCGGAAGTCGCCAGCGACACTGATACAGTGATCAGTAAAAATTGGTTCACTGATCAGTGACACTGGTGACAGGGCAGTGAAGGGGTTAACTGGAGGGGGGGAGATATTAAGGGGTTAAATGGGATTACTGGTGTACTAGAGGGCAAACTGGCGCTATCTGGGGGGGCACTAACACTATTGGAAGTCGCCAGCGACACTGATACAGTGATCAGCAAAAATCGGTTCACTGATCAGTGACACTGGTGACAGGGCAGTGAAGGGGTTAACTGGGGGGGGGGGGGGGCGATCAGGGGGTTAAATTTGTGTTCTAACTGTCAGTGTAGTGCTTTTGTACTCACATTTCTTCTGTCTTCTTCTCTCTCTGGGACCAATGTGCCCAGGCAGAGAAGAATGACATCATATCCTGTCCTGTGTAAATATCAACACAGGACAGGATAGGACAGGGACTGATCATCTGATTTCAGCCAGACATCACTGGCTGAAATCGAATGATTGATCCCTCCCGGATCAAATGGTGTCACCCGCGGGTCGGCGAGAGCGCACGCGCGCGCCCCCTGTCGGCGAAAACGTCGGGAGCGCGGAACCCGTTTTAAAAACGGGGTTTTTGCGCCCCAGTGCCACCCTGCACATGTATATATACAGTGGCAGGGCGGCAAGTGGTTAAGTCTCCATGCATTCGGGACATTTTGATAACGCTGATAACGTTAGCTGTGTAAAGTTGCGTTAAAAACTTGAGTTTTTCATCTTTTTTAGCATTTTTGCATTAGCGTTTTGTTGCGTTTTGCCACAATTAGCGGCGTTTTTCCCTCGTTTTTTTGCATTCTTGGTTTTTAGTGGGTTTTTTTTATAAAAAAAAAATATTTTTTTAGTAAAAAAAAGTCCAAAAACGCTGGTTTGCTGCGTTTTAACCGCGTTTTGCAGCATTAGATCGTTTTTACAGCTAAAAAACTCCTCTAGAAACCCACTAGTCCTGGGGGTTTTTTCCAGCCAAAAAACGTTGATTACAGTCTATGTGTGCATGGACACAGGAAAACATGTTGGGGGTTTTACTGGCTGTAGAAAAAAAACATCAAAAGCCAAAAACAGCCGCTGTAAAAATGTCCTGTGTGCATAAGGACTAAGGGGAGCAGAGGGTGGAAAGAGCCGGAGGTGGCGGAATGTTCTGCCACATTCTGGCTACAAAACTGGGTGCAAGGGCCAAATAGCAAGGCCTGGTGGGCTGCATTCAGCCTATGGACCTTGTGTTTGACAAAGAGTATGGGCTTTATAGCATCAAAGCTCCTAATATGCTTCCTGCCTGACTCTAGAGGTCGAGCAGAAGATGGGAAGTCTACCTTTCATAGTGAATAGACATGAACCAGCCAGTTCAAGCAAGTGGTGTTGGCCATCGGCTGATCCACACTTTTCACTGGCTGGTTGGTTAAAGCGGAGCTAAACCCTTCTATTCTTTACAACCAAGGAAGCTGCCATCTTAGCCTTTGTTTGATCTGCAGATGCCATGGTGCTGCACATGGTGATCAGTTATGCCACCACCAGGGGTGGACTGACAACTCATGGGGCCCCCGGTCAATAGGGGATCATGGGGCCCCTGTGTCCTTGCCCAAACTCAAAAGAGCCTATGAAAAAGGTACCAGGGGCATCTCATGGGGCCCCTACTGACCCCGGGCCCTCGGGCAGTGCCCGAGTTTCCAAATGGTCAGTCCGCCCCTGGCCACCACACATTTGATGGCTTGAGAGCTCAAGCAACAGTGTCAGTTATCATTCATGGCATGCCTTAAATGTAACTGTTTTTCAAAACAGTTTAATTGATGGGTTTAGTTCTGCTTAAAAACCAAACTCTAGGAAACTTGAACATTCTCTTAATCACTGGGGCTGCACACTGCAAGGGTTACCTGCACATTTAAAGTGTTAGTAAACCCCGGACCCTGCATTCACTATATCTGGTCTCCCCGGACCCTGCATTCACTATATCTGGTCTCCCAGGACCCTGCATTCACTATATCTGGTCTCCCAGGACCCTGCATTCACTATATCCAGTCTCCCCAGACCCTGCATTCACTATATCTGGTCTCCCCCGGACCCTGCATTCACTATATCTGGTCTCCCAGGACCCTGCATTCACTATATCCAGTCTCCCCAGACCCTGCATTCACTATATCTGGTCTCCGGACCCTGCATTCACTATATCTGGTCTCCCAGGACCCTGCATTCACTATATCCGCTCTCCCACAGTACACACTATATGAAAATGAAATTATTTTAGTAAATATAAATTGCTAAATACCTTTTCTCATCAGCAGTATATAGCAGACTTCTATCAGTGTTCTGCAGACCACTGGTTAAAGCTTGTAGAAGAAGTTTTCTTTCTTCCCTGATTGTCCTATGAGACTGCATAACCACTGTCTGCACAGCGGCCTTGTGCTGATCACCATGCACTCTCCCAAAGAACAAAAAAAAAAACTCTCTAGCAATACACACCAAACTGAACATGTGCAGCTTGCCCCTGAGACTCTGTTCTATCAGCAGATGGATTAGAGACAGAAGAAGAAGGGGAGGATCAGAGAAGACAGGATCAAACAGCCTTTTTACACAGTACAGAGGATTAACCACTTAGGTTCCATAGTGAGTATAGCAAGCATGCTTTACTGCATATACAGACTGATTTTATTGCTATGGGTTTAGAAAAAAAAGTTTAAAGCCGGCTATAGACAGATTAAACCTCAGCCAGTTCAGCAGGAACCACCAAATTTCAACCCATCTATGGGGCAGGCTGGTTGTACTGAAGTCGATCTATCAATCAACTTCAATACAACCAGTATGTTGGCTTTTTTTCATTCGATTATGGATGCCAGCAGTGATCATTGTATTCTGATGGCTGGGCAACCTCCTGCTGTCAGAATACAATAGGGATTCCCTCCTCAAAGCTGACTGTGTTGATGGGGGAAATGAGCAATTTCCTTTCCTTCAACCCATGGTTGAAGAAAATAAATTTGCATAATGCATTGCCTGCCTTACTTGCCGTACTCAATCCTCCATGCACCCAATCCTCCATGCTGCTAGACCGGTCCCCACAATGTTTTCTCCTCCATGCTCCAGCGATCTAAAGTCCTGACATCATCAAGACCCATGCGTAGTCCATACCCCTGCATAGGATGTGAGGACTCCGATGGACAATCCACTACCAGAGCATGGGGGAGCATCATCTGCCAGGGATTGGGTAAATAAAAGTGCTTTTACTCTACCCTAGACTTAAATACAGCGGAATCCAATGGAGATTCCAATTTCATAGTTGGTGGGGGTTTTGGGTCTCAAAGCCATGCTGCTTACCCTAATAAGAGAGAGCTACAGTTCATTATTAGGATAACACCTATGAAAAAAGATAATTATTTACCCTACTGCTCCTTGGCTTTCTATAATTTGCATTTTTAAATAACATTTCTAAGCCCCACATATACTTAAAATGACCATACACCAGTAGAATTTTTAATTCGAAATATTTTGTAATTCAAGGGGTCAAATTGATGATCACATTCAACTGCAGTGATGGGGAAAAGGATGAATTTTTTGTTTTCAAACAAACCAAATTCATTTTTGAAAAATTACACTTATTGTAATGCACATGTTCACTCTAAAACTGAATGCAGGATTCAAGACAGTGGCACAAAAGTGTCTTCAGGAATTGTATAGGAAAAATCCAAATAATCTGCTCAACAATTTTTCTGAATTTTCCATACAACGTTCAAACAAAATTCCACTGGTGTATGGCCAGTTTTACCATATTCCACAGTCACATGAAAATTAGTGGCCCATTCTTTCGATCTTCAGCATTGCCCTGTTAAGGAAACGTCTGGCGGCATCCAATCTCATTCCGATGACATGGACTTATGCCTGTTTGCTTGAATAACACTCACCCATCTAGTCCTCCACTACTGTACTAGTATGATGATGGCAGCGCGAGTGGTGGCAACAAGACCAGTTGGCTGCATAGATACCCAAGAGCTTCAGCAGATTGCTGACCATGATTTGCAGTGGCGCCGTATGGCGAGTATATGTGTTTGTAGATTCTAAAGCAGTGGTCTCCAAACTGTGGCCTGGGAGCCAGATGTGGCCATTTGCTTGCTTTTATGCGGCCTTTGGGGCACTATTCCATCCACTGACTCCATCAATGGGACATCATTCCTGCCACTGACACCAACAATGGGGCACAAATCCTCCCATTTACACAAACGATAGTGTACAATTCCACCCAATATCACCAACAATGGGGTGCTATTCCTCCCAATGACATCAATGATGGGGCACTATTTCTCTCACTGGCACCTACAATGGGGCACAATTCCTCCCAAAAACACAAACGATAGGGCACCTTTCCTTCCACTATCACCAGCAGTTGGGCACTATTCCTTCCACTGACACCTACATTGGGACACAATTCCTCTCACTGACACCAGTGCCAGGATACAATTCCTTACAATGACACACACCCATGGGGCACCATTCCTTCAATTAACACCAGTGGTGGGGCACTATTCCTCCCACTTACACCAATGACAGGCCACTATTACACCCATTGACACCAACAATGGGGCACAATTCCTCCCAAAAACACAATGATAGGGCACATTTTCCTTCCACTATCACCAGCGGTTGAGCACTATTCCTTCCACTGACACCTACATTGGGACACAATCCCTCTCACTGACACCAGTGTTACAGTACAATTCCTTACAATGACACCAACAATGGGGCACCATTCCTTCAATTAATACCAATGATGGTGCACTATTCCTCCCACTGACACCAATGATGGGGAGCTATTCCTTCCACTGACACCAGCGATGGGGTACTAAACCTCCTCTAATTCCCAAAATCAGGCATTGTTTACTCCCAGTGAAGCCAGGACATTTTCTTCTCTGACTTCCAGCAGTCCGGCCCCCTCATCACTAACTGGCCCTTTCTTTAGAAAGCATGGAAACCCCTGTTCTAAAGCTTTAGAATTCCTAGGCATTGTACACAGGGTCTTCAGTTTGTATAAGAGTGACGTATACAGAAACCTTTAACATAACATTTGCAAAACTTTACGTCAAAATTCAAACGACTTTGTTGAAGATTCTAGTGTACCCTTCAGTTTAGGGATATTAACCACAGTCCATAATGGTAGTGCTGACTGTCACCATAGGGACTAAGCTTTATGACAATTTTAAGGCTCATGTAGACATGCGTTGTTCTCCTGCACATGCTGGTCAGCGAATTCCTATTAAATTCAATGACACAATGTAGATGACAGTTCAAATGCTTCATTCAGCCTGTGCTCCGGTGTATTTCATTGGACATAGGAGGTGCTATTGAGGTGCAGTTGAACTGCAGGAAATCAGCCCTTTCTTGCCAAACTCTGCATTTTTCATTCACATGCATGCATTTGAGCAGTATTGCTATTCAATGGAAAAGTATGCGCTTGACAGGAGCGCCTGTCTAGTCTATGTGAGCCCTTAATCCCTAAATGAGGGATTTAACCACTTCGGACAGTTACCTTATTAGCATTGAAATTTTTAGACCTAATTTAGACAAGCAGCAAAGAGGTGGTAAAGACAGGCAGTTGATCCACTCAAACCAGGGGTGTCAAACTCAATTTAATTGCGTCAACAGTATGGTGGCCCTCAAAGGGCCAGTTGTGTCTGGAATGTGCTATGTATAGAGTGCAGAGTTCAGGATTATGTTATGTACAGAGTGCAGGGTTTAGGGGTGTGTTATGTACAGAGTGCAGGGTTTAGGGGTGTGTTATGTACAGAGTGCAGAGCAGGGTATATTATGTACAGAGTGGGTTTAGGGGTGTTATGTACAGAGTGCAGGGTTTAGGGGTGTGTTATGTACAGAGTGCAGAATTCAGGAGTATTTAGTGTACAGAGTGCAGGGTTTAAGGGTGTATTATGTACAGAGTGCAGGGTTTAGGGGTGTGTGTTATGTACAGAGTTCAGGGTTTAGGGGTGTGTGTTATGTACAGAGTGCAGGGTTTAGGGGTGTGCTAATGTACAGAGTGCAGGGTTTAGGGGTGTGTTATGTACAGAGTGCAGAGTTCAGGAGTATATTATGTACAGAGTGCAGGGTTTAGGGGTGTGTTATGTACAGAGTGCAGGGTTTAGGGGTGTGTTATGTACAGAGTTCAGGGTTTAGGGGTGTGTTATGTACAGAGTTGCAGGGTTTAGGGGTGTGTTATGTACAGAGTGCAGAGTTCAGGAGTATATATGTACAGAGTGCAGGGTTTAGGGGTGTGTTATGTACAGAGTGCATTCAGGGTTTATGTTGTGTACAGAGTGTAGGGTTAAAGGGTGTGTTATGTACAGAGTGCAGGTTTAGGGGTGTGTTATGTACAGAGTCAGGAATTAGGGGTATATTGTGTACAGAGTGCAGAGTTCAGGGAGTATATTATGTATAGAGTGCAGAGTTTAGGGGTGTGTTATGTACAGAGTTCAGTGTTTAGGGGTATGTTATGTACAGAGTGCAGGGTTCGGAGTGTGTTATGTACAGAGTGCAGGGTTTAGGGTGTACAATGTACAGAGTGCAGGGTTTAGGTGTGCATTACATGCAGTGTGCAGAGTTTGGATTAAGCTGTGGGCCCTCAGTTTGAATGTGTGATCTAAACCCTAACATGGCAGACATAGGAGGGTGTATACATGCTAGACTCACAATGCAATTTTAAATCAGCGTATCGAGTCTGACAGGTTGCACTACCTATCAACCGTACCCATGGAAGTCAATGAGATATTGACGCGTCATGATGATGTATGGAATTATTCAGTTGCCTGTTTATTTTCTTGCACTTCAAAATGAACTGTTTGGAAAAAGTCCTAAGTTGTTGGGCCATGTGATTGACCTGTGAAAGTCTTGTTATCCATAACTCATTGGTGTTTGTAGATCAGTTCCAAATATCACCCAAACCGTCCTCACCGCTCCTCGCAAGACCTTCTGCTCTCTAGCTCCCTTGTCTCCTCCTCCCATGCTAGTCTCCAGGACTTTTCCAGAGCTTCCCCCTTCCTCTGGAACTCTCTACCCCAATTTATCAGACTATCGCCTACTCTGCTCACTTTTAGGTGATCTCTGAAAACCTATTTCTTCAAGGAAGCCTACCCTTCCCTCAGCTAATAATGGAATCTTCTACTCTTCCAACCAATCCATCCCCCACAGTTACTACCTTTTGTACCACTAGCCCCTCCATCCTAGATTGTAAGCT